TTGTACAGGGAAAAAGAGAGCTGCTATTTTAAAGAACTGTGGCTTCTTCTGCCCTCTAATGGCATAATTCATCACAGGGGAATTGCTTCTTGGTTCAGAAAAACACCTTAATGACTAATTTCACTTTAAAAGATGAAGAACCTAGGGTATAGGACAGAAAAGAAGGGATGACGTTGTGCACAGAAAAATGAGAGGATGTGATGTGTTCTGGGAGAAATGTCACAAAACCTATGAAGATTGGCACTCTACTATAGTGAGATCAGAAGAGAAAAATCAGCACTAGGAATAGACATCAGGATTTCAAAAAGGAGCAAACCAAGATAAACCAGATGTCACAAGTATCATCAGAAATATTAGGGAAAATCCTGGGTTTCCAGTTGACTGGCCAATTTGAAAAACAAAGACCTAAACTATTAAAGAGAAGGTGATCCTAGAAGGCTGGAGGAAAACTGATCAACACTTGGATTATGTAATAAAATTTTGGATAAAAAATACTTAATCCATCTAGAATCTAAAGATGTGAAAAAAATTCACTCTAAATTGTTATCCAGTTCTCTCAAAGCTACTTACTGAAAAATCCATCCTTTTTACATTTGCTGAAACTGTTATTAAATACTTTTATATTTGGGTCAATTTCTGGAGTTTTTTCAATTCCACTGATTTGTCTGCCTATTCTAGTATCAATACTATGTCTTGAAAATTATTAATATTTGAGTGTTTTTTTCCCCTTACCTGTAAGAGCCAGGGGAGTGAGGTCCGTGTGGCCTGGCTTCCTTCCTGGCAATGAGGACAGGTATAGCAAGTCTATTTCTGCTTAGAACCTTCCTCTATTCCCATCAACATTGTAGCCTACACTTCAGGTTTCCTTTGCACAATTTCCATCATATTAAAAGTGATCTCAAAGGGAATATTCCTCATGTGCTCTATAATCTACCCTTGTCCTTCCAGGTTGTGAGGTGTTCATAATGACCAAGAGGATCTATTCATACTTCCAAAGAGGCCAAGTGTTTCCTCAAGGAAGAGACTTCTGAGTGTCTGTCTTTACTCCTCCTTTCTCTTTAAAAAAAAAAACTTTGAAAACGTGGTATTGTGATAGAAATTCCACATTTCCGGCTATGTCTGCCTCTCCCATCCTTTCCCTGTTTTTCTACCACTGATATATGGTTTCCTCCATGTTTATTTTTCATTAAATTTGTTATTACTTTTAATTTTTAGGCCAAGAATCAGTCTACCAGCTTTACATATTATTAAGCCTAGGTTAAAACATAAACAATTATCAAAATTTTAAGGTGCCAATGTCTCTACAAAAGAATATTTTGAATCCTAAATGTATGTCCACTCTTGTATTAGTATCTTTTACCACTAAAGACTTTAAAAATGGAAAACTAAATTGAAAAAGATTCATATTGGCTAAGCCAACTTCATAGCAAATTACTAAATAGGCACATTTCAAAGTGGAAAAGCAAGATTCATGCTGGTGTTGGCTTTAATATGCCATCACTATTCACTCTCCACTTAGTTTTTTAAAAAAGTGGATAACAAAACTAACAATAACTATTCTTTCAAGTCCTTTACCATGATTTTAATAATCTCAAAGACTTAGAGAAGCCTTGAAAAATTGTTTATACTTGAGATTACATTACTGAAAGAATTCACATGCAATCTTTGAATATTCCTGCTAACCCCATTTCTTTCATATTAGTGTGCTGAATTGTTATCCACATATAGAAGTTCCACATTACCCTTTATCAAGGATTTAAGTGGCTTACTTTATTCAATTCTCTTCTTTCATGATCATTCTCAATTCTTAAAATTGTTTATGAAAAATTTTAACGTCAAAAAGATGTTTGTGATACATAGAAAGAAAAAGCAGGGTACGTTATAATACATATATATGTATTAGTAATGCTTTTTTTGTTGTTATGAGACCTGCTGAAGCTTAAGTAAAGGGCAGTAGTGTAAAAGCACTTGGAGAAGACCGACCATGTTCCAAATCAGAGGTTTTGTTCTATATAGACAGGAAAAAGTGGACAAGATATAGATGGGGACACTTGCACCAATCAGGATGAATAAACCATTAACTAGCTTCTACCTCTCTGAAATCTCTGGCTTCAACATTTTGGAGAGGACTCAGCTCCCTTCATTTGATTGCTGAGACTACAAAGGACTTATTTCAGGCCCCTAACTGTAAGGCTTGGGAATACCCTTGGCACACTGAAGCAGCTAGTTATTGGAAGAATACTATCTCCCAAATCTAATAGTTGCTCCAAAGCTATTTTCGTTCCTTAAAAAGTTGACACATTGCTAGTTTTCATGAAGCTTGCGAAACATAACTTCAAAGGTAAAAAAAAGAAGTTATTGGGCCGGCCCCGTGGCTTAGCGGTTAGGTGCGTGCTCTCCGCTGCCGGCGGCCCGGGTTCGGATCCGAGTGCGCACCGAGGCACCACTCCTCCAGCCATGCTGAGGCCGCGTCCCACATACAGCAACTAGAAGGATGTGCAGCTATGACAGACAACTATGTACTGGGGCTTTGGGGGAAAAATAAATAAATAAAATCTTTAAAAAAAAAAAAAAAAAAAGAAGTTATTTCATCTTATCAATTCAAACATTATGTCCAAGGCATGGTTTGGCTTCTGGAATATAAATCAGACACATTCCTTTTGAGGAGCTCACACTCAGTTCAGTGAGGGAGACAAGCAAAGAGAGCCCATAGGAAACAATTTGGGATGTTACTACAGCCTATTCAGTGATGCTATTGCATCTCGGGTGTGTTTGGGGATGAGCAGGCAGGTAGTGAGAGAATAATTCAAACAAAGCAAGCTAAATCTCGAATAATGAGTAGGAAATTGTGAGACAGGCAAAGAAGGAAGGAAACTCCAGCCAGATGAAACAGCCAAGTGCAAAAAATATGGAGCTATAACATGGCCTTTTTGGAGACCAGCAAAAATAGGTGGGTCTTACGTGTTATCCAACTCCTCCATAGGTGAAGTCCTCAATAGGTGGGCGAGTTGGACTAGTTAGGCACTAGCTGGAGTATCCAAGGTTGGACTGAGCCTTCATAGGCAGTGGAATTCCCTGCTCCAAGTAGCACTAGACATCGTGAACCACTAGAATTTTTTAAGGATCAAATAAGTACAAGCACCTAGCACTGTGCCTGGCAGTTATTTCTTAAATTTTCTTTAAGCGTTTAATTTTGTTCAGAGTCCAGCAGTTTCAGCAGTGTTCAGCACTCGTATCTAGGTTTGGGGGTTAAGCTGTTGAGGTACGAGATGGATAAGGGGGAGCAGGTTTGGGGGGAGTTGATATTACGGGGTATAGGTAACTATAGAAAAGACGGTAGGAATAAGAGTGACTAACGGATAAGTTGAAATCTCAGGCCTAAATAAGCCCAGTAGGGGCCAGAGCAGGAAAACCAGATTGTAGATGAAATACTGGAGTTAAGAGGGGAATGGTCATAGGTGATGATTAACTCCAGAAAATAGTCATAGGAGTGGACTGTAGTTAAAGTGAAGGTCAGCTGAGCTTAAAATTAAAGAACTAGCCTAGGTAATGAAACTGACCTCATATAATGAAATTTGTGATAAAAAGTAATTTCTGGGTGCCCAAATCCTCAGTAAATGCGAGAGGTATAATCTGGATTTTGGGTCCAAAATAGTAAAAATTAAGAGTGTAGTCTAGCTGGAGTACCTGAATGTAGAAGTGGCAGTATGTGTTGTGTGTGGGGTAGGGTGGGGCTGGGAGTGGGTAGAACAGACATTCCATCCCTAGAGACAGAGATGTCTGGGAATAAACAAATGTCATTTAAAAATCACAACAAAAGCAGAACCCTTCAAAGGAAAGGTGGTTTCATTTCAAGGCAGCATTTCCCAAACTTAACTCAGTCCTGAATGGCTTTCAAGATGTTAATAGTATTCTTGTCACTTATATAATTTTTCTTTAAATATTAAATGTTGCATTAAAAACACACATTCAAGAAAGTACGTTTGGGGCCGGCCCCGTGGCTTAGCGGTTAAGTGTGCGCGCTCTGCTACTGGCGGCCCAGGTTCGGATCCCGGGCGTACACCGACGCACCGCTTCTCCGGCCATGCTGAGGCCGTGTCCCACATACAGCAACTAGAAGGATGTGCAGCTATGACATACAACTATCTACTGGGGCTTTGGGGGAAAGATAACTAAATAAAATTAAAAAAAAAAAAAGAAACTATGTTCGTGTACCCCCTAAAATTGAGTACCAACAATGGTATACAGTACTATAAACATGGCATACTCTAGAAATACTGAATCAAGGCAAGGAGAGTTAACAGAAGCAAGTTGCCGCTAATATAAATCCTTTCCTCTTTTTCCACCACAGTCCAATGCCCCCTGCCAAAATAATCTAGGAACATCACCTCAGACTAGAATGGTCTCTTTCCCTCCTTCTAGCCATTGTTTTCTTAATCCCTATTTACACTGCCATGTTTCTAAAATACTATTCTTACCCTAATTCCCCAAATCCTTTCAACAGATTTCATTGCCTACACTACACTTCTTGAACCAGTCATTAAGGAAATCCATCAGTCTTCTTACCTAGTGCTCCTGAACCTATTACTGCTTGCTTTTGTCAACTGGGTATAGATTGGGTAGGCCACAGATGCTCACTGGTGTGTGTTCTTTAGCTGATACTTTATCAAGGAATTTAATACTCATTTATCAGGGTTTCAAGAAAAATACATGGCCATAAACAAATCATAATTCCTCATCTATGAAATTCAAGTCCAAACTTCTAATTATTATATTCAAGACCCTTCTCAATTTATTCAACCAGATCTCCAATTAATCCTGATTTCTTATTTCTGGCTACCTACTACTAGCCCACCGATTAAGTGTATCTTGTATGTTTACTTTAGAATTTTTATATTCAGTTCAGCTTATATTAAAAGCTCAATAGATATTTTAAATAGGGAAAGGGAAAGGGGAAGAAACATGACACTACTTTCTTCAAATAACGCGAATATTCAACATTTGAAAAGTTTACTGAAAACTTTTATTGTAATCAAAAAGTGACATAACGGGGTTGTAATGAATTCAGCAAATCATTCTGCTGATATTTTAGAACTGATACCAGCTTTTGCCAGGCAATTAAAAAAATTCAAATGTGAAAATTTCACAGTACAGTAAACTCCACCCCAACTAATTCATGGTGGTTAAAAATAATAGGCCCTAGCAAAACCTCTCATGTTACATGGTCACAACTCACAATTCTGTACAAAAGTTCGTGTTATAAAGCTCTGATGTAAAAATCAAATAATCAAGCAGCAATATTTTAAGTGCAGCACGGGTCTTCCATATCATTATTTACAAGGCTTGAATCTCTTTACATTATAACAAAATTTAATACAGATGACTTAGTAATTAAGTCAATTTTTAAAATCTGTCCTTTTACACAGGGACAGATTTCACTTTTTGGTCATCTTTCTCCTTCTCTTTTTCTTTATCTTTGTTCTTCTTTGACTTCTTTTTCTTGTGTTTGTGTTTTTGGCTTTTTTCCAATTCTGCTTCAGTGCCTGCATGCTTCTTATGCTTCTTATGTTTTTTATGTTTCTTGTGTTTTTTCTTTTCCTTCTTCTTCTTCTTCTTCTTGCTGTCCTGACTTTCTGCAGAGCTGGCACTGCTACTGTGGCTTCGAGTTTGGCTTCCAGAAGGGCTATGACTTCTACTTGGGCTAACACTGGGACTACTTTGACTCTGGCTCCTGTTTATGCCTACTTGGCTGACTGCTGCGGCAGTGTCCACGCTCTCTTTTGTTTTCTCCATTACTTTATCTTTCAGTTCCTTAGAAATTTTTCCTGAAGTGTCCTCCTCTTTTACAGATACATTGCTTTCACTGTCACTTTCATTATAGTCTGGTTCAAAAGCAGCTTCATCCGTTTCTCTAGTCAAATCAGAAGAAAGTCGAGAGGAGTGACTTAACTGGGGTTTAGGCTTGATAGTATTCTTGTCAATCTGCCCAGCAACTTGCTCTTTTTCAATCTGTGGGTCTGGTGGGTTAAGTATATAAAGTAATTTACTGCCATTTGACTCTTTATTGTTCCTTGTTTCTAATATATGTTTCTCACGATCCTTACAAGGATTTTTATCCACAGATTTTGTCTCTTCACTTGAGCGTTTAGTATCATAAACGGCTTTGTGATCTTGAGGTGGTTTTTTGTCTCTTGGGGGACTAGAACTACTTTTTTTGGAATCTCCCGTTCCTTTTTTAGGCAAATCTCTCTCCTCCCTTGGCTTAGTTTTCTGTCCTAGTGCAGAATCTTTACTCCCAGAAGGAGAGTCTTTTCTTCTTATTAATTCATTTCTTTCATCTCTACGTTTGGAACTTGAATACTCTCTGTTGTCATAGTCATTTTTTTTGTCTCTATTGGGAGTGAAGTCTTTATTTGAGGAACCTCGAGTGGAATCATGCTTATCTGAAGTTCTGGTCTCTTTGGAAGACTGAGACAGACTTTTAAAATTTCCTTGTTCATTCAAACGGTCCAAATTACTATCTTTCTCTGGCTGAGTGCTGTTCTTCCTCTTTTCAGGGTTTTCCTTTTCCAACAGTGAATGATCTCTATCTTTGGTTTTCCCTTTTTCACTAGATGCAGAGTTTTTTGAACTTTTGACCTCATGCTGTATAATTTCATGGCTCACTTCCTTGGTGAGTTTCTGAATTTTCTCTGATGGCTCACTTTCTTTTTCAGTATACTTGACCGTATTTGATGGTTTAGTGCTGACATTTTTTATAACACTGGTAGGTTTTCCTACACTTGATATAGGCTGCGTGGATTTAACATCTTCTTCTTCAGATTCAAAGTCATCTTTATCCCATTTGGATTGAGGAACCTGAATCATAATAATAACATCTTCAGCAGGAGCTGTATTGTCATTATTATATTCTTCCATAGTTTTAACGACAGTTCGCTTTGTATCTGTTTTTTCTTCAGATTTCCGCACAGGACTGCCTCCTGTTGAGCTTGTACTAAAAAGAATAAAAATATTTTTAATTAATGGTAAATAAAATAAATTAGTAAATAAAAATATTTTATTAAATATTAGTAATTAGTAATTACTAATATTAAATATTAAATATTAGTAATTAGTAATTACTAATATTAAATATTAAATATTGATAAATATAAAAAGGCTACCTTAAACATGATAAATGTCCTAACTTTCAAAAGCCAATTATTCTGCTTAATAGAGATATAAATGATTTAAGTATAGGATTGTATAAAAACAAATGTGGTTCACCCTCAAAATCTACTTTTAACCTGATATCTAACGATTCCTTTCTTTAAAGATAAGAGTAAATCAGCCTAACTCCCAACATCAGTACATTCTTAGTTACATATTCCACTTTAATAAAAAGTACAAACATGGATAAAATTAAAGGAAATTCTTTCCCAAAGCAAACATCCACACCCACCCCACCCATGATCAGATACCTGGTATAATCCACAAGAGTGGAGCTGGATCCTTCAGTTCCAGTTACTTTTCGTCTGACCTTTCCTTTGACTTTTTCTTGCTTCACTTTGCTAGATGTTGACTCCAATTTTTCAGAGGGTTCTTTTGTGTTAGATATATTTTCTGTACTTCCAAGTTTTTTACCAGTTTCTCTGTTGAGCTTGATTTTTTTGGCTGGGGCAGCTGATGATGAAATCTTGTCTTTTTCAGGGGTCCTATCCATCTTTTCAATATCAGGTTCCATTTTGCGCTTTGGTGATGGTTTCACCACTTCACTTACTTCTACTTTAGAGATTTTCATTGAAGATGATTCAAAATCTTTATCTACACCTTTTTCTTCAGTTTTTCGTTTTCTTTTTTCTCCCTTGCTATCAAGTGGCTTACTTTTCTCATTAGGCTTCTTGGCCTTTTCTTCCTTACTAGTTAGCTTTTCTGATTTGACGTCTTTGGAATAGTCCTTCTTCACTTTTTCCTCTTTGACTGGTTTTGTCTCTTGGTGTTCTTTTGCTGACTTCGAGTGAGCTTTTCTGGGGGTACCAATGACCTTTTCATCTTTTTGAGAGGAAGATGATGATTTACCACTGTCAGTCTTTGGAGTCTCCTCTTTGGCTTTTTTAAGCGGAGGTTCAGATCGAGGAGATTTTTCACGCTCTCCATCTAGTTTTTCTGGGGGTCCTTTAGTAGGTTTTACGACATTTTCTTTTTTGGACACAGCAGATCCATCATTTTTCCGTTTGGTCTTGTCACCTTTTGCTTTTGGTTTATCTTTTTCTCTCTTGTCTTTTTCAGACACTGACTTAAAAGTGATGGATTCTGCATCCATTGGTTCATCTCTAACAGGTGTAGCATCATCTCTACTTGGGAGAACAAACAATGAGTCTGTTTTACTTTCTTCACCGCTTGTAGGTTCTCTTGATTTCCTAGAAGTTTCTAATAACTCTGGGTTCAGAAAGCCTTCACTTTCTTCCCCCTTTCTTCTTTTTCTATGTTTCTTATGTTTATTTCCTTTACCATCTCCTGGAGCATTTTCACTCTCCTTCTCTTTTGACTTTGTATTATCCTTCTGATTGTGACTGTCTCTTGTTGAAAGCTTTTCTGGATAGTTACCACCTATGTTTCGACTTCTATGACTTTGTCCACCAGAATAATCTTCTCTGCGGCCTCTTGTGAAGGGAGAATTCCTGATATTAAGCGGTAAAAATCTCTCTGGAGAAAAGTTCTCTCTATTTGCTGATGGTCTAGGCTGTGCTCCAGTAGCAAAACCTTTATAATATTTTTCATACCACTCTCTGTATTTTCTCTCCCATTCTCGATAACGCTCTTTTTCAAATGGGTCTCTAAAGTCAACACTTCTCCCATAATAAGCTTTCATGTCATAAGGCGGTGGAACTTCTCTGTATCTATTAAAATATTCACGTTCTGTTTCCCCTTGAGGTACATTACGTTTATTGGGAGATTGTCCCCTAAATGCTTGAGGAGATCTTGATCGTGAATGGTATCGTCTATATGGGGGTGACCTTGACCTAGATCGATGATATCCATGAGATCTAGACCGTGAACGGTAATTTCGACTCTTGCCTCTGCCTCTTCTGGGATACGGAGGTGATCGTGAATAGGAACGAGAGTGTGAGCGGCTAAATGATCGAGAATAAGAACGTGAACGTGTTGAACCAGATCTTGATTTAGAATAAGTATATGAACTTCTTGAATATGATGAACCACTATAGGGAGATTTAGACCTAAAAACAAAAACAAAACAATAGTTGATAGTTGAGAAATATATACAAAATAAAATACAGACTCTCAGATTTTATCTTGCTCTCCTCACGGTTACTTCTTTCTTTATATCAAGTTTCATCTGAGATGATTAAAGAGGCACAGTAACCTCTATTGGGATGGAATAAAGTACACAAAGATCAGAGCAATCACTTCTTACAAAACAAAAGTAGAATCTCAACAATTAGAGTGAAGTGCGTTAACGTACCGTGAGTTGTATGAGCTAATTAACTTAACATTAAACGAAATTCCAATTAAATTTAAATTTTACTTCCTATCTGATTAAGTAGGAGTAATTTTTTTTTTGTCCTATATTGGCCAATAGTCTAGCTTTAAAAGGAAGCACATTTCAAGTGTAAGCTTAAAAGTCTTTTAAACAAACTTCCAGGGAATTTTTATAATTCAGTTTTTCTATCAATAAAGCAATTTGTATTCTACCACTACTTTATAATTACACAGGTTAATGTTCCAGCAAGAAGCTGTAGCCTTGGGTAAAAGGGTCCTCAGAAATGTTCTTTGGCTATTTCCCTATTTCTTTCCTGCCACAAACATTTCCCAATTATTTCACATTATAAATAACTTCGAGGGACAAGGGCAATTTAATCCCCATAACTGCTAATTCTACACAATAGAATTTACATTGAGACATTATTTCAATAAACAGATATTGGGAAATAAGCTAGATCTCCATTTCTATAAACCTAGACCGAATCAGAAAATTCCATAAGTGCAGTGTTATTTATATCCATAGCTAATCCCTGGATATTCAAAGTCCCATTTGTAATTCTGTTGTGAAGGCTTGCAAAACACTAACCTGGAAAATGAGCGCCTACGCTCCTTTTGAATCTTTTTGTATTCCATCAATTCCTTAGCAAAATCATTTGTAAACTCATCTAGCTTGGACTTTTTCTTTTCCCTAGTAAAATAAAGTTAAAGAGTGAAAGTTAACAAAAACCATTTAAGAAGACTAACAAGACAAATGTAATTAGATCATGAATGAAATGAATGAAATTGCCATTAGTTTTCCACTTTAAAACTATAAATAACTAGGTATCCCTCAGGAAGTTGCTTGTATGGCTTTGGTTTAATTTTTAGGTGATTTTTCTTGTACTAACTGGAAACACTGGAAAACATTTCCAAAGATACCTATTTAATGTTACACCGGAAAATGAAAGTGTATGATAATTTCAAATTAAAACACTTACTCTTCTTTTAGTCGTCGTTGCTCTCTATAGAATTCTTCCCTGGACAAAGGTGGTGCTTGTGTTGTTGGGATGGTATTTGAATGAGCTGTCTGCACTCCTGATGATACCCAAGGTGTTGACAAATTGGCCGGAGCTGGAGGAAACCCTGGAGGAGGGACACTATACCCAGCAGGTGGTGGCTGGCCAGGAGGAAACTGAGGAGAAAACTGTGGTGGAGGAACACCTGGAGGGAGAGGAAGTGTATGGGGAGGAGGTGGATACAAAGGAGGGGGTGGGACAGGTACAAAAACTGGAGTTGCTGGTAGTGACGGGCCTTGAGTTCTCTGTGATCTTTCGCTGTGATGCCGTCCACGGTTTATACTTCTGGAGAAATAAATTCCAAGATATTATTCCTTCAAACTAAAATCATCTGAGACAAGTAAGCTTGTCTTTTCTAACCATAATTATTTTCAAGCTTAGAAACAGTGGAATAGAATCAACTATTCAAATAAGAACACAAAATTTATGTGTAAAAGTAACTCCAAAACAAAACTAATTTTTAAGGCCTGTTAGGGACTGAGATGATGTAAGTTTATAGGGCCTTCTCTATATGGAGATGCTATATTTTAAAGTTTTCTTTTGTGAAGTTCAGATTGAGTATCACTCCACAGTTATCTCATTACTTCCTAATCTGTTGTTTAAAGGAACTGACAGGTTAATGCCTCTGTGATCTAGTTCTTCCCAAAATGTGTTCCAAGACCAAAAGTTTACATGAAGAAAAACTACTTCCTGTAATCTCCTTTTTGAGGGAGAAAGTCAGTAAAGACCATTCAAAGTAGAATAAATACTAGTTTTAACATTTGTAATTAACAATAGAAAATCTCGATGTTTTCTCTCAAAGGGTTACATAAAATCAACAAGGTTGGCCAAGTTTCTGTTGGGCCTCATCAAAGAAAGAGTGGCTTATTTGAAAGAGTAGGTTTATTTCTGTTAAGCTCAAGGTTCTTTAAATTATAGGCAACTGGCACACAACAGCAGTAGAAGGGGTTTAGATTTAAGCTTCTTTTCAGAGAGCCTGAATTAGTAAGTACTATCTTCTATTAACACATGATCTAGTAACAAAGTAGTAGCTAACTTTCATAAGCTTAGCAATTCTCAGTGGAACACCAGAAGATACCCTTAATATTCTTGTTATAACAAAAGTTAATTTGGGGCCGGCCCCGTGGCTTAGCAGTTAAGTGCGTGCACTCCGCTACTGGCGGCCGGGGTTCGGATACCCGGCGCGCACCAACCCACCGCCTCTCCGGCCATGCTGAGGCTGCGTCCCACATACAGCAACTAGAAGGATGTGCAACTATGACTCACAACTATCTACTGGGGCTTTGGGGGAAAAAAAAGGAGGAGGACTGGCAATAGATGTTAGCTCAGAGCTGGTCTTCCTCAGCAAAAAGAGGAGGATTAGCATGAATGTTAGCTCAGGGCTGATCTTCCTCACACACACACAAAAAAAGTTAATTTGGAGGCCCTTTTACTACTCTGATGGCAAGTATAACCTAAATAGCAAGACCTATAGCTTACTTCTTAGATTAACGTGGCTTGTTAATCTTGTTGCTCTTCTAGGGCAAGAGCCACTAATAATCTCCTCATCTCTTCTTTTGGAAAAAAAGAAGGTGGGAGAAAAGCGGGACAATTGAGTCTACAAGAGAAATACATGCAATTCTTCCCACTCGGGAGCTGAACTGGTTAACTTTCATCTTAAACTGACACCTTAAATATTGTCTGGGCCTTAATGACTTCCTTCTACCCTCAAAAGAGTAAATATAAGCCAAGTTATTCTGCTGTGTGCTGACAGGGAGAAGGTAGTCATTGGGAAGGAATATTAAAGATGTAGCCTTAAAAACCATTATTTAAAATACTAAATGTTATCTATTCTTTTCTAGGCCTCTTAAGGGCAACTACTGAGGACTTAAATGAGATAAGCATAAACCAAATGACCTCCCCCCACCCCCTACCACCACTGCTGTGTTTTAATTCCTTTGCGTTATATTTTTCAGGGCGTCAGCAGTTTTTCCAAATTTTTAGCAAGCCTACCTGTAGCAGCTCCTCTCCCCTCTTCTAATTTGCTGTGGTGGAGAAACCAGATATCCAAGCTTGTTAGAACTGTGTGGAAAGAAAGATAAAATATAGTTTGAGTATAATACATGACCTTTTAATGTGCAGACTTTAAGCCACCTATTTTATTTATTTTTTTTTGTGAGGAAGATCAGCCCTGAGCTAACATCCATGCTAATCCTCCTCTTTTTGCTGAGGAAGACCGGCTCTGAGCTAACATCTATTGCCAATC